TGTGTGTGTGTGTGTGTGTGTGTGTGTGTGTGTGTTCAGTGACCTCCTGTCCACTTCTTCCAACTCGGAGTGCCAAGACAGCATGGCGGGCGGTCACGCAGACTGTCCTTTCCAGCGACGCATCATTCCTTCACACCGACTTCGTCCCCGACGGACGCACCCTGAGATCTTCCAGGTGTGCATCAAAAAAAAAAAAAAAAAAAAAAAAAAAAAAAATTGCAGTTCTTTCGCAGGGTCCAAGAATTATGCAAAAAAAACTTTTTTTCCTTATAATTTCAAGTACCACCTCAATAAAAATGCAAAAGTGTTCATCATCATAAGACGGAGGCTTTATTCCTAAATAAATATATTAACTTATAACATGATGCACAGTTTCAACATTAACGGTACTCTCAAATATGGAATAAAAAACAAATTAATTAACTTCTAGAATGATTAAATGAAATTGTACTGACATAAAACGCAGGAATAAAACTGTTTGAAAACAGTTCTTAAAGATTCAACGCAGCTGGTTTGTACTTGAAAGTCAAATACAACTGAACTGCACTTCATACATCTACTCGACTGAATTAAAAAAACATATATAACAGGATGCAGTTTTAACAATAAAGTTTGTGATTCTTCGCGTACCACCATTACTGATGTCAACGCACAAAACAAACAAAAAAAAAAACTTGTCCGTTGAATTCATACCGCATGTCACATCTTGTTCAGGAGGAGGACTCTTTAGACGACTCCTCAGAGACCTCCACCCAGGAGAAGCCCACCAGGAAGATTTACTACAAGCTCAAGCTGTTTCCGGGCAAGTGGGTGGACATTTTATATGACCGTCTCACCTTGCTCGCGCTACTGGACAGGTAAGTGCTCTTCGTGAGAAAAGCCCGCTGGTCAATTGGTGTACAGAAGTCCCCCCCGTTCAGCACAGGAGTTACAAATCTGTGATATGGACAAAGCAGTTATGTTCGTATAGTTTCATCCCGAAAGCACCCCTCCCACACTCCTTTCAGGGGCAGCGGTTACTACAGTTGACAGTTTACCATGTTATCAGGTTACAGGGAAGCAGGGAAAAAAAAAAAAATCCCCTGATCCGGTCGAGTGATGACTGTAATCTGCGTAGGAACCAAGACGTTCTGGAGAACCTGGTGGCGGTTTTCATGGCCTTCCTGGTTTCCTTCCTCGGCTTTGTGCTGCTCAACGACGGCTGCTTCAAAGACTTCTGGGTCTTCCAGTTCTGTCTGGTCATCGCCAGCTGTCAGTACTCCTTACTGAAGGTAGAATAAGGCAGAACACAAAACGATCAGTCATAACGTCACGTTAATTGTCAAACGAATCCAACTGTCGACTGGCGATTGTCCATTTATACGATGGGCATGACCTCTGTTTTGTACAAATTGTCATTTCTCTCTCTGTGCTTTTGCTTTGCAGAGTGTTCAGCCAGATGCAGCTTCACCAACGCACGTTAGTTATTTATCTATGGTTTAAAATAATAGCAAAACATGTTTAAATTATGTTTTTCTTTGGATGACACAAATGATTTTGACCCAAAATATGGAAAAAACACAACGGGCTGTAATAGGTGCAGGGATGGTGCTTTAATGACACTGGAGTGAAAATGTGCATGATATGATAGATGGCTAGATGGGTCGACAGTAAATATACAACATAAATAATTTATAATGCACCAATGTCACAATTTCAAAATCATTTCAGTGCTCATGTGATTAAAAACGTCAAAGTACAACTCATGAGAGTCCCCGATATGCCACATATATGGAACTTGGTGCACCATTAAGACAAGTTCCGTACACGATTTACTGACCATCTATTCATTTCTTTTTTTAGCTGTCTCATATCTATCCATCCCTGTGCAGGGTCACAACCAGCTGGTGGCCTACAGCCGCGCGGCTTACTTCTGCATCTTCTGCTCGCTCATCTGGACGGTGGAGCAGCTGCTGCGTCGGAAGGACCTCCCCGTCTCCACTTTGTACGGCGTCACCATCGTGTGCCGCGACGCGCTGCGCTTCGTGCGGAACCTGCTCATGGGTACGGACAGACCGAGGCCCAGATGGGACGCTTCGGCTTCAAGCCACTTGTCTTGTGATCGAGCAGTTCATCGATTTTGATCACAGGTTTCACTCACTGCTTCCCAATCACGTTCCTGGTGGGCCTTTTCCCGCAAGTCAACACCTTCGCCATCTACCTGCTGGAGCAGATTGACATTCACTTTTTCGGCGGAACAGGTCAGCCGAGCCATTTTCGATCCATTGGGTACACCAGTGTAAAAATTGCATTGTTGTACTATGGGGAAGATGTTTCAAAAGATGTTTCAAACTCCATTTTAAGTTTTTGGTATAAATATCTCTTGGCTCATTTGAGCAACCAAATCAGTCCTGGTGCGCTCGCTCGAGGACATCCTGGACAAATTTGGGCAAATAAAGGAGGCTTGGCCACGACAGTGGCGAAATGCGTTTCTTTGTTGTCATTCCAGCGGCTACAAGTCTGATCTCAGCAGTGTACGGCATCCTCCGCAGCCTGGGCGCTCTGTCTCTGCTCTACGGTTTCTGCTTCGGAGCTCTCAAGGTTGATGGCGCCCACCAGGCTAGAACCACCTGTGGAGGCGCTTGAAAATGTTTTGACGTGTGTGTGTGTGTGTGTGTGTGTGTGTGTGTGTGTGTGTGTGTGTGTGTGTGTGTGTGTGTGTGTGTGTGTCGCAGGAGCCGTGGGACGAGCAGCACACGCCAGCCTTGTTCTCTGGTTTCTGTGGCCTTCTGGTGGTCTTCTCCTACCACCTCAGTCGACAGAGCAGCGACCCCTCGGTCATGATGTGAGGAACAGTTCCACATTCTTAACTGAATCAAACACAAAAAATATTCAGCATAACTACCTGCCGTTTTGACACATCCTTGCCTTGACTGTTCAAAACTACCAAAAGTAAGTAAACTGCTGTGAAATGAAACAAAACAAAAGCAAAACTAGTCACCCTTTAGTTATCGTTTAATTTAACTGCCATGCAAGTGTCAATATCAATTAGCTGCTGTTAACATGAACCTCGAATGAAGTAAAACTACTTGTCCTTTGAATTAATGAATTTATTTTGGACATAAAAATATTAATTTCAGTGAATCTCACGAGTGGTGCTTGGGCACCCTCTAGTGGTACATAAGAGCATCACTGAATTAATTAAAACTAAAGTTATGTATCAACTAAAATCGAATATGAAGCTTTTTGAATCATTTTTTGAAACAAATGCTTTACTTTTTAAAGTTTCATTAAACGTTACGATCCATTGGCATTTAACAGATTTTTTTGCATTTTTTTATTGTGCAATTCTAAGTGCAATTTTCATTGAACGTTGCAGGAAATTTTTATTTGAATTATTGAAGTTTCTTTTCTTTCTTTCAGATCGCTGATCAAGTCGAAAGTAATGCCCACGTTAGCGGAGGGTGAGGAAGACGAGGGCCGAGACGCCGACATCGAAGACCCTCTGCCCAAGAAGCTGCAGAATTCGATGGTGAGCAACAACAATTCGTTTGCTCTCAAGCCTCCACTGAGCATTTTCTATCATCAGACTGTACATGAATGATACATGAGATGATTTGTCTCAAATGGCGGACGTCCCACAGAAGGAGATTCTTTTGTCGGACGTGATCGTGTGCTCGCTCGCCTACATCCTGACCTTCGCCATCACCGCCAGCACTGTCTTCCTGTCGCTCAAGGTGAGACTTGCCCTGACTTTGGGGCGACAGAAGCAGGGTACAAGACTCTTCAAGTCATGCTAACATGCATGTGGGTGGGAGGAGCCCGGATTCAAACTCAGATCTCCTGACCGCGAAGCAGACATGCTAATATCTAGGTTGCCTCCACGAACTGAAAAAAAAATGCATTTTTTTTTTTCTTGTCAGCCCTTTGTGACCATCGTTCTGTACGCGCTGGCGGGGACGGTGGGCTTGGTGACGCATTACGTCATCCCCCAGTTGAGGAAGCATCATCCCTGGCTGTGGATCTCGCACCCGCTGCTCAAGACCAAAGAGTACCACGAGTTTGAGCCCAGAGGTCAGAATTTTAATTTCAAATAGTAACTAAAAAAAGTTAGGAAAAAGCCTCGTACGAGGTGGAGCATTTCAACTTTAAATTAAAAAAAAAAAAAAAGAAGAAAAAGAAAAAAATCTGTGCTTTATGCAGGCATTATTAGACGTAATTATTCTTTCTTAGACCAAAAGGCAATCATTTAAAATGTTTTTTTTTTTTTTGTGAAAGAGGACGCAGTCCTGATGTGGTTCGAGCGGTTGTACGTGTGCCTGCTGTGCTTGGAGAAGTATGTGGTGTACCCCGCCATCGTCCTGAGCGCGCTCACCAACGACGGCTTCGCCCTGAGCCACCGCAAGAGGCTGGGCATCCAGTAAGACGCGCCGTACCTTGGTCGGCACTGCGAGGAGTGCTCCACTTGACCCTGTCCCCCCCACCCACCCATGCAGCGGCGACGTCCTGTTGACCACCGTGGCCGGGATGAAGCTCTTGCGCTCGTCCTTCTGCGACCCCAGCTTCCAGTTCGTCACCTTGCTCTTCACGCTGCTCTTTTTCCACGTCGACTGCCCGCGCGCTTCCGAAAGCTTCCTGCTCGATTTCTTCCTCATGTCCATCCTCTTCCACAAGGTGAGCGCTCGCACCTGGAAACACAGCGGACACTTACGTGAGTGGGTCTAAGGATGCTGTTGAGAAAATCCCTCGAGTCTCAAATGCGGAACGCTGACAGTCATCCCAAGGTTGAATATATTTACAGTCCAGTTGGATGCTAGTAATGCCCAAATACATTACATAGCCAAATAAGGTAACCAAAACATGTGAAGGTGGAAATCCACACACTAATAACATTTTTGATACCGTGCTTGTCAGGTGTACCTAACAAAGCGTCTTTGTTGTTGTTGCAGATGCGCGAGCTACTGCTGAAGCTTCATTTCATCCTCGTCTATATCGCCCCCTGGCAGATCGCCTGGGGCAGCGCCTTCCACGCCTTTGCCCAACCCTTCGCCGTGCCTCGTATCCTTATAGTGCCTTAAAGTTGGTGTGTGTGTGCGTGTGCGTTAGTTAGCTCACCGTGAGAGCCACAGGTTCGTTCTTGACTGGCGCCGCAATCAGACTCGGCCATGCTGCTGCTGCAGACGCTGATCACGACCGTCTTCTACACCCCCCTGGCCCCCTTCCTGGGCAGCGCCATCTTCATCTCCTCGTACCCGCGGCCCATTAAATTCTGGGAGAGGAACTACAAGTAGGGAAAATAGTTTAAGCTGAAATGGAAATATTGTTCATCAAAATGTCATTAAAATTTTTGTGCCTTATAAGCCGATGTGGGCTGGGCACCTTGAATTGTGCACGGCACTAAATAAGAAATAGACTAAAGTGAACTTTAATAATTATGTATGACATGTATGTTGCGTTTAATAAGTTCAATAAGAACTGTCCCTTACTTAATGTGTATGCGCCGTATGGGAAAATCCGAATAGCGACACAAATACATTTACCTTTACAGTTATGGTTTTTACTCACCTGAGATGAGATGCTAATAAAACTTGTTGCCTGCAGCACAAAGCGCATCGACAACTCCAACAGCCGCCTGGTGTCTCAAGTTGATAAAGAGACGGGTGAGTTCTCAACCACTTTTTACGATGTTGTTCAAGCTCTCCATGCAGTGCTTCTGAATTATTCTTCCTCCGGGGACGCCATGTGCACTCTTTTTATGGCTGTCTTCCGCCAGGCTGCGACGACAACAACCTCAACTCCATCTTCTACGAATACCTGACGCGCTCGCTGCAGCACTCTCTCTGCGGCGATCTCATGCTGGGCCGCTGGGGCAACTACAGCGCCGGCGACTGCTTCATCCTGGCCTCGGACTACCTCAACGCCCTGGTGCACCTCATCGAGATCGGCAACGGCCTGGTGACCTTCCAGCTCCGAGGACTGGAGTTCAGAGGTATGGCGTTCGCTTGGTATACTGCGATGGTCCCGGGGCAGATCCCTGGTGTACACCTGTGAACACGGGGGGGGGGGAGAATTGGAACGGAATTGGTATTTGACTTGAACCACAATATAGCCCTGTGGTACGCCAGTGAAATTATTTCAATTGGGCAGATCCCTGGTGTACACCTGTGAACACGGGGGGAAGATGGGAACAGAATTGGGATTTGACTTGAATGAATTGACTGCTGTACCCCAGAATATAGCCCTGTGGTACACCAGTGAGATTATTTCAATTTAATGGTTTTAATGGAATGAACCGAGTGCTGCAGTTGTTTCTACTGGTGTACCCAAGGGCTCTGTTCTGAGCCCCACTTCCCTTCATTATCTACATTCTACCTTTTGGCCACATCTTTTTTCATTGTTCTGGGCATGATACCCAATTCTATCTGCTCACCAAACCTACCACCTCTCTTTTGCTTTCTTCTCTGACTGACCCGTCTCGCTAAAATATTAATGGCTCATCAAAACAATTCCACTTACCCATACCAAGTCCACACCACCAAATAGTGACAGCTTTTCAAACTGTTTCTTTGCCTTCCTGCCAGGAACTTACTGCCAGCAGCGTGAGGTGGAGGCCATCACGGAGGGCGTGGAGGAGGATGACGCCTGTTGCTGCTGCGAGCCTGGCCACCTGCCCCACATGCTGTCATGCAACGCTGCCTTTAACCTGCGCTGGCTGGCGTGGGAGGTGACCGCCACCAAGTACCTGCTGGAGGGCTACAGCATCAGCGAAAACAACGCTGCCACCATGCTGCAGGTCTACGACCTCCGCAAGCTGCTCATCACCTACTACCTGAAGGTACTTGTACAAACAAGAAGATTCATCACCAGGAAACCTCTCGCTCATCATGTCTTCCTCTTCCTCTAGAGTGTTATTTACTACTTGGTGCACTCCCCCAAGTTGACCACCTGGCTCAAGGACGCCGCCATCCACGAGGCGCTGCAGTCCTACACCAAGTGGCACCATATCGAGAGAGACCCTCAGGTGTTCAGCGTCAAGATAGACGAGGACTATGTGCACTGCCTGCAGGGGGTTACGCGAGCCAGCTTCTGCAACGTGTACCTGGAGTGGATCCAGTACTGCGCTGGCAAGCTGGAGACGGTACGGAAGACTTGGGGATTTAGCAGGGCTCCGCACTATGGCAGGTTCTGGTTGGGATACCGGCAAGTCAAGGCAAGCTTACTTGTACAGCACCACATAGAGTGCCAAATAAAAGCATCGTGAAAAAAGGCAAAAGTATCTTTGAGTGATGGAAAAAAACCCACCAGTGAACAAAGTTATCAGTCCCAAATCCAAATTTGAACAGTTTGAGCAGATCTCAAGTGTTCAGAAAGTGTTTTCCGACAGTTGAGGAGCAGAAACAGAATGCTACTTCAGTTGGTTCGGTTCTGGTTGTGGAATCCAGGTTCCGAGGTGCCAACACAACCTTCATAGTATAAAAGCGGCGGTGCACAACCTCTGTCCTCTATCCTGCATGTTTGAGATGTCTCTCTCCCTCAACGCACCCGATTCAAATGATCAGCTGGAGGACCGGGGTTCGACACCCCGTGGTATAAAGTCTGCCCTCTTCTTGTATCCACACGTTTGTTTGTTTGTCCAGCCTGTCGACAGCGATGAAGACTCCCCTCTGGTGACTTTGGCATACGCCCTGTCGGTCCTGGGAAGACGATCGCTTGGAACGGCGTCACATAACATGTCCAACAGGTAGGTAACTTCACTTTTTCTTTCTTACCCTTTAGATTGATTGTTTGCTCCGTCATCCAGATCATGGCCATCCAAGAAGTCTTCCAACATCCTCAAACTTGAAATACCACTGCCGTTGTCAATAGGGAGCGCTAACGTCTAACTTAAAGTTAGAAACTGCGACCACAAGGGGGCATCAGAAACTTTATTAGCTCTCTCTTTTTTGTTGGTCTTATTTTCATACCCCGTCAAGCCTGGAATCTTTCCTGTATGGTTTCAACACACTGTTCAAAGGCGACTTCCGCATCGCTCCCAAAGACGAGTGGGTTTTCGCCGATCTTGACCTCTTGCAGAAGGTGGTGGCTCCCGCTGTCAGAATGAGCCTGAAGCTGCATCAGGTACGGGCAAACTGCCGTTCGTCACAAGGCCTTGTGGCACATCCTTCAAGAAAATCTGGACTGAAAGCTTCCAAGTCCCGTTGGAGTTAGTCAGTCCGTTGCATTTCCTGCTCCCAGGACCACTTCACGTGTCTGGAAGAGACCGAGGAGGCGTCCATCTTGTACGAGGCCATCACAAACTACCGCAGCAGCCTGGTCATTTGCCACGAGAGCGACCCGGCCTGGCGCAAGGCGGTGCTGTCCAGCCGCGACACGCTGCTCACGCTGCGCCACATGGTGGACGACGGCACAGATGAGTACAAGATCATCATGCTCTACAAACGCCACCTCAGCTTCAAAGTCATCAAGGTAGGAACAGAAACTTTACGCGGGATGCCTCTTTATATGCCTTCAGATTTTCATTGATCGCGGGTCGGTCTGGATTCCCGTCGATACATGAAGGGGTCACTAGAAGACTTCCTAAACTCTCTTGGCAGATCAACAAGGAGTGTGTGCGAGGTCTATGGGCAGGTCAGCAGCAAGAACTGATCTTCTTACGGAATCGCAACCCGGAGCGCGGCAGCATCCAGAATTCCAAGCAGGCGCTGAGGAACATGGTCAACTCGTCTTGCGACCAGCCCCTGGGCTACCCCATGTACGTGCGGCCTGAAAGCCCGAAGAGAACCGAAGGGTGTTCCGGGGTTTGACGTCCGTTGCTCTGTGGTGTCAATCCAGGTATGTGTCGCCGCTGACAACGTCATATGCGGGAACACACCGGATGCTGCGCACCATCGGGGGAGGGGCTTCCAGCTTGGACGCCATTCGTTCCTGGCTGTGCTCCAAATGGCTCAGGTTCAACAGAACTTCCCCCTTCAACGAAATCAGTTTCTGCCAGTTTTGTCGACCCTCAGGGCATTATGTTGGCTATTTGTGTCTGCCCCATTTTTTTTCCCCGTACTTTAGCTGTGTTCATGCAAATGTCAAGGGTGGATATTTTTGTCCAATTTCCAACTCAAATTGGACCCTTTGGCTCTGTCTTGTCCAATTTTGGTCAATTGAACCCCATGAAAACTACATCTGGATTGAATTGTTTTGTGTTTTTAAGTAGATTACATAATTTCCCAATTTTGGGATGAGGGAGCAATTTCGTTGATTATTTTTCGATTCCAATGAGGCATTTAGTGGCTTATTGCACTCCAATCGCGCAAATGAATCAAACCATTTCGACAGTCAGCAGTGGAGATCATCTCTCTTGACCATCGAGAAAAATTAATTCTTTAATTTTAGAACTGGAAGCTTTCTCTGCTGGCTGTAGAAAGACTGTACTATTATCAAAATAAGAAAAAAAATACGCATTCCAAAAAAATAGTACTTCAAGGGTTAAGAATAAAAATGGAGAGTAAAACCTACCAGTCTGAGCACACATTTGGTATGTGTCACTGATGCCAACAGAGTGCGCAAGGACAACCTGAACAGTTGCAACAGTGGCGTCAACATGGATGACTGCGACTGCGGTGCCGGCGGGTCGTCATCTCTGAGCCACAACCGGCCGTCATCGGTCACCTCCAATAGTCTGAGTGCTTACCAGCAGAGAGCCCCCCGGACCACACGAAGCCACCGACACCATAGCTCAGGTAGAATAACAACAAATGGGAGGGGACTTAGTGTAGCACCATTGACGAACAAAAGTTGGAATATTGTGACCTGCTTCTAGTCTCTAAATCCATGAATTACATAATTACTTAATAAATTGTAAATGTTTATTTGTTTTTTTTTGTTATAGTTCAACATAAAACTATTAAATGCATTACCTTTGAAGAGTTCAGCTTTCCTTCTTCCAACTTCCAGTGTTTTTTATTTTTCTGTTCATCAAGGAAATGCTTCCTGTCAAAAAATAAGATTTCTATGAATGTTTGTTCTTAGTGAATTCCTGTTGTGTGCAGCCCGGAGGGAGTATCGCAGCAGATCGGTGCAGCCTCAGACCCAGCGGCCGCCGGTCAACAGCCAATCGGGACCCATCGTGGACTCGGCCTCCAACCATGGCTTGATCCAGCGTCTGTCCAACAGCCAGCTGTCCTTCAACACTTCCATAGCATCCATCTTCTCCCAGGTCAACACGCGCACAACACTGATGACTCGTGGTTAGCTTGAAATTTTCGGCTAACGAAGCGCTTGGTTCCTCAGGTCCCTCGTCTCTCGGGAACCGGCGGGATCAGCTCGCAGCTCCAGGCGGCGCCGAATCAGCAGCGTTCCAGCCAAGTACGAGTTGGCTACATGTTGTCACCGTGTCTCATGCGCAGTGTCAACGCTGACTTTTCATGTCACGTGACGTGAAGATGACATCATTAGCATTTCCCTGGACTCTGCGCCACACTGTTGTTGTGCCCATTTCTCATTAGGTGTCGTCATCGTCGTCTACCCTGAGTCTGCTGTTCGGCAAGCGCAGTTTCTCCAGCGGCCTGGTGATCTCAGGGCTGTCAGCCGCCGAGGGGGGCAACACCACCGACACGCAGTCATCGTCCAGTGTCAACATTGCCATGGGACCCTCACACCGGTCGGCCAGCAGGGCCACACAGGTACAACATTTATCTTGATTTTATTTTTTTTTTGGGTGTGGGGTTTACAGGAATACAGTAAACTTCCCAATTTTTGGTTCAGCAAAAGTAGTGCTTTGCTGCCATCGTGTGGCATCTCAGTGCCAAGGATGTATGTTGAGGTGAGTTGAGGAGTTTCATTTCGAAAAAAGTAGTGCTTTAGCACCGTCTTCGGGCATCTACGGTAGGTGTCAAGTAACTATGTTGCAGTGAGTTGAGGAATTTCCGTTTGACAAAAGTGGAGCTTTGCTATCACCTTGGTGGCAAGGAACTATGTTGAAGTGAATTTTTTTTCCACTTGTTTTGAGACTTTCATGCAGACAAGTTGAAGAAATATTTGATGTTTGTATCCATTTGATTTTTTTTTACTTTTTTTTTTAATTATCATAATAAAAAAGCAAATTTTTGTCCATTTCTATATAGTGCACCTTACAAAATCCTTAATTGTCTGTTAACATCCGTTGAAGAAATATTTGATGTTTGTATCCATTTGATTTTTTTTTACTTTTTTTTTTAATTATCATAATAAAAAAGCAAATTTTTGTCCGTTTCCATATAGTGCACCTTACAAAAAACTGAATTGTCTGTTAACATCCAAACAGTAGCCTACTACTCCAAATATATATTCAATATGATGAATTTAACTTTGTTTTGGGCATTTTGAGCTTCAGTAGCCTCATGCTACATAACTTATGACCAAGGTTGAATTTATTATTTTTTTGCTAAGCATGTTAAATCTCAACTCATGAGCTTCGAGACTTACCATTGTCTATTCGTCAAGCAATAATTCCCCGTCTCTTGCGCTTTCATCAGTGGACGTCCGAGCCGTACGAGAGCCTC